CCCTCCACATAGGCAGAGCTGGAAACATTCCCCAGGAAGTCCATTTTTATATTAAGCAAAGGTCATCTAAGAAGGTCCTACTCCTCCCTAGGAGAATGACCGTGAACCTCATCAGAGCTAAGGAAAGCCTTTCTACAGGCCCAGGATTCAACCATTGTATTACTTGAGTCTTAGCTGAAGAGATCATAAAGAACATCATGAACAATCCTTGCATTCTGTAGCTGAAAATTTCAGACTTAGGGAGCTCAAAGGGCTGCCCAATGTTGTACAATTGCTGAGTGACACAGGTTGCTGCAGCTAAAATGCAGTGTCCAGACCCTAATCTAGTACTCTTCCCTCCACACTTGACAGCCACCCCCACCAATCACTTGGAAATTATGTAAAATCCAGAAAATGAGCTCCTCTCTTCCCAACTCCAATTCAAAAGTAAGGATACACTTTCTTCTCAGGTAGGCCAACAAAGTTGTTTCTGGATCAGCATTTTTCTCCACCACCTATAAAGAAAAAAAAAAAAAGAAAGAAAGAAAAGAAGAAAATTATGCCACAGGTATATCTAGCCATACTCCTGCAATTAATTTCTCTTTTCAGTGTCTCACCCAAGGATTTGTAGAGTGAAGGGGAAAGGGCTAAATAGATCATGAAAACTAAGGTAATTTTCTTAGCAGTTTCACAAGAATGAACATATTGGGACCAGCAGTTAGCGTAATGGCTATGTCGCTGGACTCCCACATAGTCGACTGCGGTTCGAGTCCCAGACCCGGTGGCTTAAACTTACGCCGCGAGCGTGTACATGCATGCCCAAGATCCCGAGAGGAGAATGGAGGAGAAGGGATTGCAGCATGGCCATCCCCTCTGGGGGGTGATTTCTCACTTTCTGTCTCTCTGTCTCTGTCTGTCTGGCGAGCGCACACCCTCCATAGCAAAAACCTCTCCCCCCCCCAAAAAAAAATAAAGAATGAACATATTAACATGTTAACTACAAGCCAAACTACATACAAGAACATCTTTGAATTCTAAAATTCTACCTTAGTGCTCAGTTCTGGACTCACCATCAAACTCTGGTGTTCACATTTGCCTTGCCAAGCTGACCAAAGCGAAGCTTCCTTCGAATCTAACATATCATTTTATTTCTACTGCTGGATCACACCTGTCAACTCAGGGACAGCTGAGAACTTCACATGCAAATATCTGGCTTTCCCTCCATGAGCATACGCTCTCAGACCTAGTGTGTGACTGCAGAGAGCAGCCAGTTGGTCTGTGCTCTTGGTGGAGTGTTACATGTGATGAGCTGTCATAGTCAACATTGACATGTCTGAAATGGAGGAAAAATCTAAAACTAAAAGTTTGCCGGTCTGTTCAACAAGGTAGGAAAGGTTGTCTACAAAGTCAGACACCAGTTCCCAGTACAAAACGTATTTCAATATGGTCTTATGCTTGTCAAGGTTAAATGAGTCTGGGTTGATGGGAGAATTAAGGGGAGAGAATTTGTAATAAAAGTTTCTTTTGAAAGTCCCACATTTTCCTATTGTTGGTGGAAAAGCAGTATCTGTGTGAAGCAGGGTCTGCCCTCTTCATCATGGTGCTGCATAAAAAGTTTACCAGTGTGCTATGTATGTAGTGCAGGAGATATGGTGGTCTGGCATATCTAAATATACCAGAGGTAGGCTTTTATTTTTTTTAAGAGACATTTTTGCTATAGGGCACATGCACTAGCCAAAGAGCCAGAAAGTGAGAAATCACCTCACAGGAGGTATGGCCACACCGCAATCCCTTCTCCTCCATTCTGTTCTCAGGATCTTGGGCATGCACGCACTAGCATCTGGCATGAGTTTTTTAAGTTGCTAGGTCTGGGACTCCAGCCCCAGTCAACTACATGGAAGTCCAGTGTTGTAACCATTACACCACCTGCTGGTCCCAGTCAGAGGTAGGCTTAACACAAAATTAAGAGCTAATGTTAATAAGTTCAAACTTCCACTTAACCGTAAGCTGAAGAAGTAGCAGTTTGGAGATTGATGTGCACTCCCAGAGTTTGGTAGAGCAAGGATGTGGAAGCATTGGCCGTGGATCTATTGCAGGCCATCCCTGAGATGGAGCTGGCTTGGAGATGTATAAGTTATTCCTAATGAAACTGCCTAGAGGGAGTAAAGGGGCCTCCATAGAGATTCTGTGTGGGTAGACTTCCCAAAGCTGGAGGCTGAGAGAGAGTAACTGGCCTGAGAAAAGCATATTGCCCATTTCAGAGGATGTATAACCAAAAGCACCTTATGGTAGCCCCCAAAGAGTCCTTGAAAGTTATCACAAGAGAAAGAAAAGAATCAGTTCCACAGATCCACAAGGCCCAGAGAGCTAGAAGCTGTCTAACAACAGTACAAATTAAGCCCTCACAACATCCTTGAGTTGAGATTGTGTTTGGCAACTAACAAAGGACCACAAGTTGCTTTTTTTTTAACTTTTTATACATTAATAATTTTATTTTAAAAGAACATGTTAATAAAAAGTCACCTGCCATAAATACCACTTAATCATAGAAATACAACAATGAAAAGCTACAGAATCTTGATGTTACTATTTCCTAGGTGTGTTCCCATTACTGAGATCTATGTGACTAGTTCTGTCTAATGGATACATAACATTTTAGGAATGAGTAATTTCATTGACAATGCTCAATTCTTTGTGCTCTTTTCATGTGATGTGGCAAAGAAAGCTGCAGGTTTCAGATAATGTGGCTTATGTATGGTAGAGCCTCAGCCTTGGTCTGTTAGTGACACTGCCACATGCCTGATCCCATCCTGAACACTATTACATATAGGACATGAAGTGTGAATAACAAATACATTTTTGTTCAGTTTCTGAGATATTAGATGTGTAATTTTTACCCAGAATAAACCTAACCTATCCTGATTAATGCAATACTATTGCCCTAGGACTGTGGGCTCTTGATTTACTTGCTGTTTATGGAAGAAGACAGTATTAGGAAGTATTAGAGAGATAAGGAAATATTAGCTCTATTTTCTTCTATTGTGTAGTAAAAAATGAACAATAATTAAAATTAGAAGAATTTTCTCTTATGTGCTTCAAATTATCCCCATTCCTTAAAATGCACTGGGAAAAATAAGCAAACTTTTTGTTCCTTGATTCCCTTATCAAGAAAATGATCAAAAACATTTCATCTCTATGATGATGAGATTAAAATATATAGCAATGGCAGTTACTCAACATTCCATAGATGTTTTGATGGGTTATATTTTAAACTTACATGACATTATGCAATGCAACACATTTTAAAGGGTAAATATTTATTTAGCATTGTTCTAGGCTCTGGAACCCAGAGGCAAAGATGGTATTTTGGCTGGTGCAATCCTCTCTGAGCTGGCGACATTCATGTAGTGACCCAAAATAAGTCCCCCAAAAATGATCTGGGTGAAGAGTGTAACAGGTAGAAGGAAAAGTGTGTAAAGATCCTCAAACACTCTGTATCAGTGGTGAAAGAGTAGAATCAGGGACAACAGATCCCTGGTTTTGGCAAGAGAGACAATATGACTTAATGATGGTTAGGCCTGCAGTATATTCAGATTTTACCTAAAATTGTAGTTACCCTTTCTTAAATCTTTACCATGTATCCAGCACTGAGGATGATGCTTTTCTTTCTCTTATCCCTCACAACAATACTGTCTACAAGACAGGCAGTGTTATTATTCTCATCTTATTACCTGAAGCTAAAGAAGTTAGAAAACTTACCTAAAATTATACAACACGACAGGTTAGTGAGAGAGCTGGAAACCCACCCAGGTGTATCTGACTCTAAAGGCTGTACACTCAACCAGTCCATCATTCTCCCATCCTGATGACAAAGGATGTTATTTGTCCACTGATCAATCATCAATTACATTTTTCTGTATCAACTGTGTCCCATTTCTTGTCCTTTTTTCAGTATGTTTCTTTTTTATCTTATTTTACTTTAATTTATTTCATACATTCACTCACATTTGTCACTTAGCTTGTAAAGAGAATATTCCAACATGAATACATTTCTTTTTTTGGAGAGGATTTTGCTATAGGGTGCGTGCGCTCGCCAGACAGACAGAGAGAGACAGAGAGACGAGACAGAAAGCGAGAAATCACCCTCCAGGAGAATTGGCCATGCTGCAATCCCTTCTCCTCTTAGGATCTTGGGCACGCGCGCACACGCGCCAGGCGTGAGTTTAAGCCACCGGGTCTGGGATTCAAACTGCGGTCGACTACATGGGAGTCCAGCGACATAGCCATTACACTAACTGCTGGTCCCCAACATGAATACATTTCTTACTAGTCCAGTTGGGGATACTATACATGTTATCATCAACGAATAATAACCTATTTCTTTGTCTCATAAATGTTTTGCCTCTCTCTTTTTCTCCTTAATGTCTTTCCTCAGACTCTCCTCCTTCTTTCACCTTCTTCCTACACCATATCTGGTATCTATAAACATTTTCTATGTTTCTGTATCCTCTAGTCATTCAGTTTCAGTCATAGAGTACAGACAGTTGATATATATTAAGTGGAAACATACAGTGTCTACTAAAAGTAATCAGAAAGGTCATGAAATGGATAGAATTTGACCTTTCAACAAAGTTTAAAGGGAAGTAGAAAATAAAATGAACTTTTGGGGGTTATAGGGCCAAAGTAAAATCACAAAATGACTAAGTTTTAAGATGGAGACACAGTAGCTCCACTGCTTGCTCAGGAGAAAGAGCTTGTAACGGTGGCTCAGTGATTGACCTAGGCAGTGTGACTTAGACCCAAAGAATTAAGGGTTTTTTCCAGGCCCACCACATTCCAGGAAGAAGACAAGATAGTGATTTTATGGCCTAAATATTTTAGATAAAGAATCTCCTGACTCGCTCCAAAATTAGGAGAATAACCAGACCCAGCCAGCATGTGCCCTCCCACCACACGGGAAACACACAAAGGATCCCCTCCTGAAAACAAGCCTGGACAAAGCTCCTCTAACCTAGATAAAAAAATCCTTCATCTCAGTCCCTTCTCAGCAACTCACTTGGGACCAGCTCTCTGTTTGGGAGCTCTGTTTCTCCTTCCCTCTCCTTCAATTAACTCTGCTTTGCTATTAAAAAATAATACTAATTTTTTTGTTTGTTATCTTGGTTATAAAGTTCATGCAAGGAGCCACTTCCTTCTTCCAGGATAAGAAGTCATAAACACATAAAAAAAGGATGATCGTTATAAAATCTTCAAACATCTCATTTCCTTCATCACCACAGAAGGTCCTAGAATTATTTGGTTTTTGCATCTACTGCCCTTGACAGGCACCCAGCTAGTGGAGAGAGAATCCTGGGCAGTGACACAAAACAAGAAGAGTGGGAAGCTCACATTGAAGAATGAGTCACCAGATTCTGACAGCTCCTTTGGTAACTTCTTTGCACAATATCCTGTAACAAAAGATCTAGAACATTTTGAGGATAGAAATGGGAACAAACTTAATCACAGATGCCCTTCTATGCCTGGGAATTCCCTTGCTTAGTCTTATTTTTATAGCACTGTTTTCACATTATTACTCTTTTTTTTTTTTTCTAAGGTTTCTGCCATAGGGTAAGTGTGCTCATCAGAGAGAGATAGAAGGAAAATGAGAAATCACCCCCAGGGAGGATAGCCTTGCCACAATCCTTTCTCCTCCATTCTCCTCTCAGGATTTTGGGCACAAAAGCACACACACCTAGCATGATTTTCAAGTTGCCAGGTCCAGAGCTCAAACCACAGTTGACCATGCAGGATCCAGCCCTTAACCACTAAGCCTCTTTACATTGCCTCTCCATCCTCCCAGCAGTTTCTCAAGAGGCCACAATTTTACAAATTATGAACATGGATACTTATCACAGAAACTGGCAATAGTAGACACTTCCAGAAATAATAAATTTGCCGTGATAATACCATCCCAAAATTTAAAATTACTTTCCTAAAGAAATAATTTTGAAAAATAAGATTCAAGGGAAAGCAACTTTCACCAAGCCAGATTTATCTAGAAATACTTCAGTGTAAACCTACTACATAACAGTGAACCATCCCTAAAGAAAGGAAAGATCTTATACTTTGACACATACATTAATGGCTTAATAAATAATCAAAGTTTAGAGTAAGTCACAGCTTTGGAAGTCATTGAATCCATCTGCTTATTCAATATAACACTACTTATAAAAGTTCCAGAGAAGATGTCTTTGTGTAAATAGCACTTTTAGAAAGTCAATTCAATAACAGATTCTTAAATCTTTACAGTGCAATTGCTGAATGCAAAGAAATTGTTTGAAGGGTTGGATGCAAAAATCTTGCTACCATCAACTTGGAAGTTCTGCCCTGTTTCTTGGTTTTAGTGCCAGTTGTTTCTTGGCTTAGTGCCAGTTGCCAACTGTGAAATGAAAGAAATGTACAAAGACAACTATAAACTCGGAATGTGACTGATCCCATTCTCTAGCACCTCCTGATAGCATGGCTCAAATTGAGTCTGACAGTCCTTATGTTGAAATGGCTCTTAAAATTCCCCTAATAGTCACTCAAATATGCCTGGCAACTTAAGTCCTAGGAGTCCTACCAAACGCATTGTAGTTCTTAAAAACTACCTCAAAAGATGCTCGGCTTCTCAACTCTATGTGAAAGTGCAAATAAGCAAGACAACTGAAATTGTCTTTCTTTGGGGGTCCATTGGGCACATTAATCACTCACACGAGCCATGTGGCCAGTGAGTGTGCGCTGTAGCTACTCTTCTACTATCCTTTTCATTCCCAAGTGGGAGCTTAAGCAAGTGTGGGCATCTCAACAATGGTGTAGGGAGAGTAAGTTGAAGCTGGAAATAACATAATGTGCTTGCTCTCTCTCTCCCTGTATCAGCATTAAAATTTACAAAGATTCTCATTTTTGCAGTGCCCAGGAACTGTTACTCATGCCACCTTCCCTAAGTCCCTGTGCACAATGAATTTAATTCAAGTGATTAAGATTTTTAATACTTACATATAGAACAAAGGAGGAAGAGGGAGCTATGGTTTGAATACCTTTCCAAAACTCATGTTGAAATGTAATTGGCATTGCAACAGTATTAAGAGGTAGGACCTTTCAGAGATGATTAAATCATGAGAGTTCCTTCCTTATGAATAAATTGATACCATTATTGCAAGAGTAGATTAGCTACTGGGTGAGCTGGCCACCTTCTCTTGTCTGCCCTCTCTTTCTCTTGCCATGAGGTACCTTCTGCTATCTTATGATGCAAGATCAATGCTCTCACCAGATGCAGCCCCAGCCTCCCAGCCTGCAGCACTATGAGTCAAATAAACTTGTATTCTTTTCTTAATTCATGATCATGCACATAAGAGTGTGAGAGAGAGACAAGCACACTCCCCAGGATTTGGTCACACCACAATCCTCTTCCTCAAGTCCTCCAGTCTGTTGGATCTTGAGCACACACATGCACATGCCTAGAATGTTTCAGGCTGACCAGGCCAGGGATTTGAACCACAGTCACCATGTGGGATCAAGCTTCTCTTGAGCAGAGTATTACCACTGTGACACAGAGCTAGCCTTAAATTCTTTTCTTTTTTAGGATGGGGGGCGGGGATGGGGAGAAATTTTTGCTATAGGGCGCACACACTCACCAGAGAGACAGAAACAAAAAGCAAGAAATTATTTGCCAGGAAGGATGGCCATGCCACAATCTCTTCTCCATTCTCCTCTCAGGATTTTGGGCACACACGCACATATACCCAGTGTGAGTTTTAAGCCACCAGGTCTAGGACTCCAATTGCAGCTGACTACATGGGAGTCCAGCAATGTAACCATTATGCCATCTGCTAGTCCCAAGCTCTATTCTCAATAAACAACCCAGTCTGTGAAATTCTATTATAGCAACAGAAAAACAAACTAAGATGAGGAAGCGGGAAGGAAACATGCCCTTTCTGGAAAAAAAAAAAATGTGTCTTGCCACAAGGTATCAATGTATGTCCCCACACACAGTAAATCAGGACTAGTATTACGCTTATACATATATTAGAATCAAAGGCTACATACATTTTATATCCTGACATTAGCAATAAAACCATTCCTCTTCCTTTTCTCAGTAAAAGAGCAATGAACACTTTAGTATTTATTTAATCAAACACAGACACAGAGGCGTAGGTATCATCTTCTCTCACCTAGAACTCTGCTCCCCTTTTTGCTCAGTGCCAGTGTTTCTACCACTGCAGAGCTGGTAGCATGCTCACAGATACCTTATTTCTCCCCCTTCCTGCTCTGTCCCTTGGGCATCTTGCCTCTGCTCTATCCCTGAGAAGGTTTTCATTTCCCAGTGTTAACGAATGCGGCAACACCTTTGAAGGGAGAAAGAAACAGGAAAGCAAGTAAGAGGGAAAAGGAAAGAGAGAGAAACAGAGCATGCCTTTTAGAGGGTGGACATTCCCACCCAGCAAGCAGGGACACCAAACCTAGCAGCTCCTGCTTACCTTTCTGCCATTCACAAAGAAAACCAACTCATCTGCTGTCATTGTCACCAGTTGGGGTCCCTGAACTCCAAGTACCTACTCCTAAGAGACACTGGCAATTATCATTGCTCTGCAACTTGAAAGACACGCCTCCCAATAAAATGAACAGAAGTCAGCCAATGGGAGGGAACCAGCTTAGAGCTTCAGGGCACAGAGAGTTCTTGGCAAAAACTACTGGTTTACATAATCCAGGAAAACACAATCACACACAGCGAATCACATCCTCCACACCTGTGTCAAAGAGCACAGAGGAAGGTGCATGCAGACATCAATAAAGCCAGTGCCTTGGCCCCAGATGACTATGGGTCTTGAGCACTGCCCTACGGACTGCTTCATCCTCACATCTGCTACAAGAGAGAAGAGGGGGAAGGGCCATTGTCAGAGACACTGCAATGGAGCTGATTCATACCCTCCATGTCTACACTTGTCATTCTACCATTCAGGTTTACTGCAACACAGATTTAGTGCTTACGTGCAAGACTCATTTTCTTCCAATCTGGTAGAGTATAGACATTATAAACCATGGAGCTCAGTGATCAGAGCCAATCAGTCCTGGCATTTGACACATTACTTATTGTCTTCAGAACTTGGTTGCTTTTGTCCTACAGAGGAACATAATAATGACACCAAAATCAAAAGAGTAAGGGGCAAATGATAATTCACATGAGACTTGTAAATTTGCAAAGAACTAAAATACTTATCACTGTTGCAAAAGTGTTCTGCTCAACACCCCCAAAAAATAATCCTGATAGCAAATCTTTTTTCAGATTTTTCTCTTACTGGTTTCTCTCATGAAAATACCCTTGACAAATTGTCAGAGTAATTTATAAAAATATTTCAAAACATGGGACCAGTAGATGGTGTAGCGGTTATGTCACTGGACTTCCATGTGGTTAACTGCAGTTCGGGTCCTTGACCCAGTGGCCTGAAACTCTTCACTGGGCCCATTTGCCCAAGATCCCAGGAGGGGAATGGAGAAGAATGGAGAAGAAGGGATTATGGTGTGGCCATCCCCCCTGGGGGGTGATTTCACACTTTCCCTCTCACTCTCTCTCCCCCCATCACCTCCTCACCAAGCACATGCACCCTAAGCCATCCATAAACCTCTACCTCAAAAAATTTTTTTTCAAAACACTAAATAAATTAAAATGCCCATACTACATTGGCATAGGCCAAATAACACAGAACTGAAAACTGTCCTGATCCAGTATTTATTAACTCCCAGTGTAAACACTATCCACCCGAGCAGCATTAGCAGGCTTTCTACAATCCAGCACCTCCCAATGTCCCTCCCAGTGCTTTAGTTCAACACACACACACACACACACACACACACACACACACCAGCATTCACTCTGGTTTTCTTCATCCTGTAATGACTCATAATCACTCAGCCAGGCTTTCTGAAGCAGGACACCTCCCCTAGCCTAGCAGGCTATGTTGTGGGAAAAAAAAGAAATATGAAGCAGATGTACTTGGTACAGTAACAGCTTAGAGAGGTTGAAGACGGCCAGGATGACTTTGCAGTCAACACCATCCTCACCCCCACCACAGCCTTCATTTAACCAGACAGAGAAACCTCACTTACAGGGTAACCAACCTATCCCAGTTTGCCCTGGACTATCTTGGTTTTAGCACTGAATCCCTGAAAATTTCCTCAGAGATCCTGGCAATCCTTCAGTCCAAATCAAACTAGGATGGTGGGTCACTATAAAACAGGGCAGCTGACCGGTGGGGACTTCCCACTTCAGAGGCCATTTGGCAATGTCTAGGGAAGTTTTATTGATAGAACTGGGGAGGATGCTGCTGACATCTAGCTGACAGATCCAAACCCCCTACAAAGTATCAGCTAGCCCCCTTCAACTGAGAATTGTCCAGCCTAAAATGTCAATAGAGCCAACAGTGAGAAATACACTCTAAAAGAAAAAAGAAGGAAGGAGGTAAGGATAGGGACAGAAATGAACCTGGGGCATGTTTTGTACTGAGTCAGTTCTTCCTGATCTTCACACCTATGTGATTGAGAGACTTTTCCTCTACTCATTGATCCACCCAACTTAGACAGTCCTCACTTTCCCCCAAACAGTCTTTAGACAAAGCGCAGGAAACCTTCAGGATGGAAGGAGGACTGAGGAAAGAGCTGAGGCTTTGGAGGTAGGTAGACTGACTGGAATATTAGCTCCACCTTTCCTATGTGACCTTTTGCAAAAATCACTCTTTTGTCCTCAATATCCTCATTTATAAAATAGTGGTGACTATACCAGTTTTGTAAGAATCAATTCCTGTGAGAGTGAAACATGGGTTAAATGTGTCATCCATTGTAGAGCTCAATGCAATACATAGTGGTTTGCTTCTCCCCACTCAGCCAATCTTCAACTCTCTCTTTTACCTGGAGTGGAAATTCTTCCCTATCCCCACAGAGCATTAAAAGATAAAAGTGAAACAAATTTTCAAGGAGGGTTTATGTTGTCATTCAGAATTTTTATTTTTATAACCTCCAATACTAAAATTTGGAAGAACTTTCACTTCACATGCCTACTTTTTTTTTTGTAAGCTTACCTAGCCACTCTTCCATGAGCAAGAGAGACAGAGAGGAAAAAATGGAGAGATAGCACTCCCATAGCCACAGTCTATCCCCAGACTTAGCTAGTCTTGGACCATGGGCATGCGTGTGCCTGGCATACTCACTGAGGTCTCTAAACACAAACCCAAAACTTTCCCATGTGGATCAGCCTCACAGAGTGCTGTATTTTATACCTGGCCCCCAATTTAGTATGATTACTTCCTATTCAGCAAAATATTTGTGACCATTTTCTTCTTCTGTGACTTTTTTTTTTCGAGAGATTTTTGCTATAGGGTGCGTGCACACACCAGAGATAGACAAAGCAAAAAACCATCCCCCATGGGGAACGGCCATGCCACAATCCCTTCTCCTCCATTCTCCTCTCGAGCTCTTGGGCACTCATATATATATACACACACACACATGCCAGTGTAAGTTTTAAGCCTCCAGGTCTGAGACGCGAACCGCACTCAACTACATGGGAGTCCAGAGACGTAACCATTATGCCAGCTGCTGGTCCCATGACTTCTTTTTTTAACTGACAAGACTTACATATATTGGGACCATCAGATGGCGTAATGGTTACATCACTTGACTCCCACATGGCCAACTGTGGTTCAAACCCCAGACTCGGCAGCTTGAAACTTGCATGTGTGCATACGTGCCCAAGATCCCAACAGGAGAATGAAGGAGAAGAGATTGCAGCATGACCATCAACCCCTGGGAGGTGATTTCTTGCTTTCTACCTCTCTGGGTCTCTCTGGTGAGCACACAGAGCAAAAATTTCTCTCTAAAAAAAAAAGAAAGAAAGAAAGAAAAGAAAAGAAAAAAATATATATATATATATATTTACTGTGTGCAATATGAAGTTTTGAAAAATGTATACATCATGACATCATGTAATGGCTCAATAGAGCTAATTAACATATGTATTAACTCACATATTTACCAGTATTTATGGTGAGAATACTTAGACTCTCAGAGATTTTCAAAATACAATACATTATTATTAAATACAGTCACCACCATGTCACACTAGAGATCTCTTAAGCTTACTCCTCCTTTCTAATTGAAATGTTATGTTATTTAAACAATATCTCTCCAACCCCACATACACTTAGCCCCTGGTAACCATAATTCTACTCTCTACTTCCATGAGTTAACAGTTCTTTTAATTGCAGAAGGGACATGCAATTTTTCAGAGAGAGAGAATAAAGTACTCCTCAATGGGGCATGGTAGTACCACAATCCCTTCTCCATTTCTCCCACCTCTTGAGGTTTGGAGCATGCATGTACAGTCTCCTAGTTCGTTTTCTAAACCACTGGGACCAGGATCCAAACCATATGGTGGGCCATGTGGGATCTGACTCCCTTAACTACTTTGCCACAAGGCCAGCCTGAGTTCAACAATTTTAGATTCCACATACAAGTGAGATTATGCTTAGTCTTCCTGTGCCTGGCTTATGTCACTTAATATAATGTCCTCCAGCATCATCCATGTGGTTGCAAATGACAGGACTTCCTCCTTTTGTAGAGCCAAGTAGTTTTCTACTGTATGCACACAACACATTTTCATTACCCATTCACTTAGATTGATTTCATGATCTTGGCTATTGTAAATACTGCTGTAGTGAACATGGGAAGGCAGACAGCTCAACACACTACTTTTATTTCCTTTGGATATATACCCAGCAGTGCGTCTGCTGGACCCATACGGTAGTTCTATTTTTTAATTTTTTGAGAAAACTCCATACTGTTTCACATCATGGCTATACTAATTTACATTCCCACCAATGGTGTGTGAGTATTCTCTTTTCTTCACATCCTTGCCAGCATTTGTTATTTTTCATCATTTTGTTACTAGTCATTCTAAACTGTGTGAGGTGATTTTAATTTACATTTCTCTCATGAGTAGTGGGATTGAACATTTTTTTTATACCCTTTGGCTATTTGTATGTCTTATGAAACATCTATTCAGGGGTCAGCAGGGGGGTGTGCTGGTTAAGATATTGAACTCCTACGTGCCAACCATGGTTCAAGTCCTGGACCCAGCAGCTTGAAAATCACACCAGGCACATGTCTATGTATGTTCACAATCCCAGGAGAAGAATGGAGGAAAAAGGATTGCAGCATCACCATCTCCCTTAGGGAGTGATTTCTCACTTTCCCTCTCTCTGTATGTCTGTCTCAGGCAAGTATACATGCCCTATAGCAAAGAAAGAAAGAAAGAAAAAAAGAAAGGAAGGAAGGAAGGAAGGAAGGAAGGAAGGAAGGAAGGAAGGAAGGAAGGAAGGAAAGAAAGAAAGAAAGAAAGAAAGAAAGAAAGAAAGAAAGAAAGAAAGAAAGAAAGAAAGAGAAAGAAGGAAAGAAAGGAAAGAAAGGAAAGAAAAGGAAAGAAAGGAAAGAAAAGGAAAGAAAAGGAAAGGAAAGGAAAGGAAAGGAAAGGAAAGGAAAGGAAAGAAAAGAAAAGAAAAGAAAAGAAAAGAAAAGAAAAGAAAAGGA